GTTGGGTCTCGCTATTTCTATTTCACCTGATAAAATACAGGTTAAAGTTTCTACCTTTGAATTTGATTGCAAGTTTCTTGGGGACCCAATTGGGTGTTTCTCCCCGTGAGAAGATTAGGATGGGCTTAATGGATTCTCAGGTTTTAGTCGCCCTTGGTCTTTCGCTTGTGGGTGGTTTGAGTACCTCAATCGGTGAGTGACTTTATAGCTTCATGCGTTTGACTTGCGATCTCTATTGCTCTGGTGATCGAGGTTTTTGATCTGGACAATATGCCGAATGTTTGTTTGTTGTATAATCTGTGCCGTGAAATTTGATGCTTTCTTTGTGTAGTATATCTTAATTGTTCTGCTTAAGCTGTGTTGTGACTGTAAACCATGTTTCTTGAGTTTCTCATTTGGATTTTGTACACCCAGTTGCCTGTTGTAACTTGTTTCTGTTGTTTGAGTAAGTTCCCCAATTCTTGTGTTGTGTTTTAACTGTGTTTACCGTGTCAGGGATTATGTATATCATGTTTGTTTTCCTCTCATTGCGGTTTAGTGGTCGAAATCATGCTATAGATATGCTTCATTTTCAAGAATATAGGTGCTATTGCTTGTAGTAAGCCAAGGGTCAAACTTTGTTCAAATGCTGCCCACATTTATGCTTTCTGGTCGTGTTTTTGTGCAGGAGCACTTTTCGTTGTTCTTAATCAGGCTCCGAATCTTAAGATGCTTGGGCTTTTACAGGTAATTAAAACCAGCATCATAGGCTGAAATGGTTTAGACTGGCCACTTCTCAGTTCAATTATTTGCTAGAAGGATGTATTACCGTATGTAATTGATATCATTTGTGTAACTTCTAGATATCTTTTACATGAAGGGTTTTGCTGCTGGCCTTATGTTGAGCATATCTTTCATGGACTTGGCTCATAATGCAATAAATTCTATTGGCTTCTTAAAAGGAAATCTCTGGGTACAGTCACATTCACCTGCATCGTATCCTTTTTGTTTACATCTTGTTAATTCATTTAAATTTCATGTGCGGGTTTGTTGGCTGCCGCATAGTTCTTTGCAGGTGTGATTTTCTTTGGCATTGTCGCTAATTTCATCCCTGAACCAACCCTTGCACCCATTTCAGATTCAAAGAGAAACAAGGTATTTTGTGTTATATGTTATATACCAGATCGTTTGTGATTAGTTTCTTTATGGAATTATCAGAAATTATTTTGGTGGCTGAAAAACAGAAACATGGGGATGAAGGTGGTAAGGACATCATGAAAAAACATCGTCGCCAAGTCTTGTTTAGTGGAATCATCACTGCTGTAGGTTAGCTTGTTTCATTATTTTCTACAGCCTGTATTCTTTAAAAATTGGGAGCAAATGTCAAATGATGACCTTTGCTCTAAGTTCTGTTATTCCAGTCGAATTCTCTCTGGCATTGGAACTTTGTTACATCGCTTCTCATTTTCAGGCATAAGTTTGCACAATTTTCCAGAGGGAATGGCGGTGTTCCTTGGATCAATCAAGGT